ATATAATATTTGCTTTTAGCAAAAAATAGACTGAAAAATAGGTTAATTATATTTACATATGAATAATATTAAACAGTTATTAAGATAAAATTCGAGCTAAATTTTTAGTTGAAAATTGAGTTTTGTAAAATGTTATGATATTAACATATTTATTGATTTAAGTTTATGGATTATTGAAAAAAAAAGATTGGGACTATAAATTAAAGATAAAATAAATATATATTAATAATTCAAATCATTTAACATGAATTCTAGTTATAATTTGAAATTTAATATAATGTTTTAGTAAAAATAATAATTAATCAAATTTCAGTCCAACAGATTTATAAGTAGCAAATTTAGTACCTATTGACAATAATAAAATCTTTAATATGTTTACAAGTGCTTTAAGTTAAATGCTGGAAATGAAGAATAAGGATTATGATGCCAAATTAATAAAATAAAATATAATGAGCATGAATAAATTGAATTAAATTGAAATAATGGCATTAATGGAGATCGTTTATTAATTAAGACTATGTTCACAAAAAGATTAAAACAAAGAAGAGTTATTGAATGAATTACAGTATTTTCTTTAAGGTTAATTATCAACTGATCGTACAGCTATTGCTAATACAAATAATTTTTTAGAATACAAAACTAAATGTAATGCCACAAATGTTGGTATTATGATACTTAATCATCAAGGATAATTTAGTATATATATATATTTATGTTAGTTCTATCTGATTAAATATCCAGAAACATTTTAGAATTAAATTCAAAAGAAGAACTTGAATAAAAGAACTTTTTCTCACTTATAAGTAAAGTTTCAGAAGTCAAACTAAAATAAATTCTCAAAAATAATTGTTTATTGTAAAATGGATAAGTAAAGGAATGTTTTAATATATCAATATATTCTGATAGAAACAGAAAAAAAAGTCTAAAGTATTTAAATTAAATGGCATAAGTACCTTTGAAAAAGAAAATTAAAAAAAATATGACTGAAAGTAAAATTTTAATTTATTATTTCTCTAGATGTTAAAATACTATAAAAAGAATAAATTTTAATGGCAAAGTATTTAAAATCAATATAAGTAACTATTTTGAAAGTTACAGTTTAAATCCATAAAGATTTTATTGATTCTTTTTTAGATTCAGATGATATAATTTTAAGTAATTTAGATACTTTGGCTTAAACAACTGTTAATTAATTAGCAATATGTGAAGTTAAAGAATTAGATGAACCTATTAGATTAACAGTTTAAGAATTGTTGTAAGATCCTTACATATCTAAACATGAAAGTATTCAAATAAATTTAAACTTAGTTAAATGGAACAAAAGAGTAAGAAAGTTTAAGGGATAGATCTCTGATGATGAATATGAACTTTGATATATTATTTATTTATAATCTATTGCTTTAATGGTTTCTTATTATAATTTATCATATTATTATCAACGGAAGTATATATTTAAAATATTTAATCAATTATAAAATATTACTTGATCTATTTAAGTAAAATTAAAAAAAAAAAATGGGAACAATGGGGATCGAACCCATGACATTAAGATCTTCAGTCTTACGCTCTCCCAACTGAGCTATACTCCCAAAGTTAATATAAACATGATTGTTTGGTTTATGAACTAGCTTGATGAATTTATTAGTAAAATAATATGATGTGAATTTAGTATTAAAACAGAAAATTCTATTCAAAAATTTTTGTAATTTATTTTATTTGTCTATTGAATTATGTATGTGAAGATAATTTCAATTAAAAATCTAGTTAATTTATTTAAATATAATTTCTTGATTATTGTCGATATCAAATATTTTATTAAAATACTAATGAATTAAAAAATTTGGATTAGGATACCGAAGAATATAAATTTAACCAATAGCCATGAAGTGATGAAACTAACTTTAAATAAAAAGAATGGTAAACAAAGAGTATTATATTGTTTCGATAAATTTATATTGTATGGAAAAGTATATTTAAAATATTTAATTTTAGGTTGGAGATATAGCCAATAAATACCTAAAACTGGATTTTGATACAAAATTTGAAATACTTTATTTGTAGAACAATAGAAATGAGGATGAAGACTGTTTAAATTAAATAATAGGCATTTAATTTCATTTAGATTGTGGAAATAAAATGATTAATTCAAAATTAGAAGGAGGAGAGATTTTAATCAAGGAGTTAAGAGATTTCTTGCGTTAAAGGATAAATTAATACAAATTTCATCAATATTTTAGAGTTTAAAAAAAAATAGGAAAAGGAAATTTTGCAACAGTATTAACGATTAATTATTAATTAATAAAGGTTTATTTTGCAGAAAGAATTGAAGACGGATTATAAGTTGCAGTTAAAGCATTTTCAAAATAAGTGGCTTATAGTGAAAATAATGGAAAAGAGTCAATATTAAATGAAATATAAATAATGAGGGATTTAAATAATTAACATTTAATGAAATTGTATGAAGTCTATGAAACTGAAAATTCCCTTTATATGGTACTAGAATTGCTCTCTGGAGGTTCATTATTTGATTTGATGAGGGATAAAAGGTCCTTGTAAATATAAGAAGTCTAAAAAATACTTGCAGGTCTCTTGTTGGGATTATAAGAAATGCATTAATAAGGCATTATGCATAGAGACTTAAAATTAGAAAATATACTATTCAAATAAAAGAAGTAAATTGAAGAATAAATATAAGTTAATTGTAATCAGTAGTTATAGCAGACTTTGGGTTGGCTACTTATGTTAATGAAAATTAATATTTATTTTATAGATGTGGAACTCCAGGTTATGTAGCTCCAGAAGTAATTAATATGAAAGATACTAAATAAAAATATTCATAAATTTGTGATATATTTAGTTTAGGTCTTATTTTTTATATCTTATTATCTGGCAAACCAGCTTTTTTGGCAAAAACATATAAAAGAATGGTGAGATAAAATAGATAAGCAACTATTGATTTTTCAATTAAATAATTAAAAAACTTACCAGATGATGCTATGGATTTATTAAAAAAAATGTTAGAAAAGGATCCTAAATTAAGAATAGATGTATCTACATGTTTAAATCATTCATTTATAAATGATATTGCAAAGAAAATTTAAGAGACAGAAATCAATGAGGATAGTGATAATGATTTAGGTGAAATTGATGAGGATACTGATGTTGGATTAAGGATAAATTAAATTAATTAACAGTATTATTAATAAATATTTTAGATATTTTGTATTTGAAGCAAGTAGATAACTGAATTCTCCAAATTCATCATCAGATGATTCTCCAGGAATTATTATGAAGGAAACAGGAAAAAAATAAAAGGAGATAGATTCAACTATTTAGTTATCTGGCCAATCACCATTATTTAAAGGAAGAATTGATACTATTGGAAGTGTTCATACTCTTGATATTTAGTCACCATAAGTAAATTATCAATAATCTTCTGCAATAAAATAGTCGAAATTTGCTTTAAATAGATAGAAAGGTAATTAAAATATTCTCAAATATATCACAAATAATTGATTTATATGTATTAGTCAATTATTTTTATTTATTATTATGTGTGTTAGGATGAAAATCAAAAACGTCATCACTAAGACTTATATATTAATTAATATGCTATTTCTTTTATTGATATTCAATGTGTTCTTACCAATAATCAAATAATTTTAAAATGTAGAATCAAATAGTTCATGAGAGTATTTCAGAAATGAAGAAATATGCGAAAGCGTTACAAGGAAACAAAAATTATGTTGCCAAAAAGACTGCTGAAGACCCAGACTACTTTACAAAACTTGCTTAAGGACAAAATCCAAAATATTTATTGATTGGTTGCTCAGATTCAAGAGCTCCACCTAATGAAATTACAGAAACAGATCCTGGAGAGATTTTTATTCATCGTAATATTGCTAATGTAGTTGTTCCTACTGATTTAAATGTATTTATATTATTAAGAATTTCTTAGATTAATTGTGTAATCCAATATGCCATCGAACATTTAAAGGTTCATAATATTGTAATTATGGGACATACTTTTTGTGGAGGTGTTAAAGCTGCTATGAAATAAGATTCTGTTGGAGGATTACTTGATTTATGGTTGAATAACTTGAAATTAGTTTATGAAAAACATTAAGATCTAATCAATTAATTAGATAATGAAGATGATAGAGTTGCATGTTTAGCTCATATGAATGTTAGAGAATAAGTTCTTAATGTATGGAAAAATCCAATTGTTTAAAAATCTTGGCAAGATGGACATCGTATGAATATATTAATTTATCCTTTTTAGCTGTTATGGTACATGGATGGTTGTTTAGAGTAGAAACTGGTTTTATTGAAGAATTAGAAATAGAAGAAAGCATACCTAACAATCTATCTAAAGTTTTTAAATTGAATTTTAAACCTACTCAACAACCACCAAAATTTAAATAATAAATTGAAGAGAAAGAAGATGAAAGAGCTAGATCTCCTTCAATTAGAAAGAGATTTTAAAGAATGCAAAGTAGATTAGAAACAGAAATTAAAAGATTAACTATCACTCTTTAAGATACCAATTAAGAAGTTGAAAAAGAAGTTGTTGATTAAGTTTCAGAAGTATTATAGAAGGATCTTGATTTCACAACTGATGATAATTGAGTTATTAAAAATATACATTAATTTATTTCGATTATTATTATTTATTAAAATGAATTAAGATGATAGAAATTAATGTTTTTCTTGTATCAATAAGAATTTTGAGTACTTTGTCAAAAAAGTGAATAGAGATTTAAAATCAGCAATATGCTCATATTGTTATGATAAAGTAACTAACATGAAAGATGAGTATATTAAGAGGGAGAAGTTTAGAGATTATCAAAATGAACAATTAAAAAAGGCTTAACCAATTATATATGAAATATGTAAAAAAGATAACGATATTGATTATGATCAAATATTAAAAAAGGAATCGAGTTATTAGTTAAAAAATTGTAAGGAGAAATATAATGAAATTTAGAAAATATTAATAGAAGTAGAATAAGGAATTTCTGACTCAATATCTAAATTATTATTTTTAGTTCAAGAATTTTAAGAAGCATAATATAATGATTTATTGATCACTATTACTTTAGGAAAATCTATGATTTTTTTGGAAAGATTAGATGATAATAGATTTAGAATTGACTAAGAAAAATATTTTGAAGATGAGTTTGAAAAAAAAGATATTGCTAATTATTGTCGAAAATTATTATCATCATCAGTATAAAATGAAATAAATGCTGAAATTGTTGGAAAAATAAAAAATTGTATTGACTTTCCAAATTTCTTAAAAATTATTGGTGATAAATTTAATAATCCAGAAAATAAAAATAAGGATGTAAAATAAAATTATTATGGATTTCTTGATAATAAATAATTAAAAACTGGACTTGGTTGTTGGAATTAAAAGAATTAATTATATTATGGTATATTTTATTAGGATGATTTTCTTTGGGGTATCAAAGTAATAATTGATTCAAACACTTAATTCTCATTGTATAAAGGTTTCTTCTCAAAAATAAAGGAAGAATTCTTTATTAATGGAATTGGAGAAATGTTTTCATTTGATGAGAATTAGACATAGCATGAATATATAGGGAAATTCTATAATGAAATGAGATAAGGAGAAGGCACATATATTTGGAAGCCTAAAGACCATAAGGACATAAAATATACAGGAACCTGGCAAAATAATGTATTTCATGGTTAGGGCTCTCTCCATTTATCAGATTAAAATATTATTATTCAAGGATCCTTTAATTATGGAGTTCCAATATTTGAAAATTGTTAAATAACAGGCAAAAATATTCCTCAATAAGATTTCCTTAATTATGTAAAATAAAGTTAGAAACAAACAGAGGAAAACTTAATTCCTAAATAATAGTTTGTCCCTCCCAATACCTTCGGAACCTTATAACCATAAAAGTAATCAGCAAATTTTTAACCATTTAACTAAAACAATTTAACTCCTCCTTTTGTTTTTTAATAATAACAATAAAAACAGCCAAATTAAATGAATAATCAAACTCAACCACAAATTCAAGGTAAATTCTAGTTCCAAAATTAGTCACCAATTCAATCACCTTTTAATTAATAACGATTATATAGCAAACCATGATTTATAAATGAGATAAAGTTATCAGATATTTAATATAATATTGATATAAAAAACTCATAAATCTAAACGTTTACCAATTTTTTCTTAAAGTTAGGCTTCTGTTAATGTTTACATTTCCTCATAAAACTAATTAAAATCCATATTAATATCTTTAAATTCTAAATATGGATTTAAGCAAATAACTAAAAACCAACCTAATTACAATAAATCTTTATAAACTGAATCAGTTTCTTTAGTTTACTTAATTGTAGATTTAATAGTTTCTAAACTTTCTTACACAACTTATTAATATAATTGTTAAAAGAATGGATTTTAATCAAAATTAACATCTAATACTTACTTTATTTTTGATGCTCTTTTATTATCAGGTTAGGCTAACTCCTTTTCAATTATTTATTTTTCTTTCTTATAAATTTCTAAATAAAAATCTTCTGTATGTTTAATATCATTTTTAGTAACAGTCAATATTTTTTTATATTCTTAACTGATTAAATATCTTCCCCAAGTTTCTCTATCAAATTTTTCTGGATTTTTGGACATTAATTAATCAGACATTCTTTTGAGATGTACATTTTAGTTTTTGGAGATACAAAATATTGTTGTATAGTAAAGTTCTTAACTTAATTTCAAAATTCCTTGATGTGACATCTTAATTACCTTTTGGATGACATAATTAAAAAAGAATGCAATATTTCTTTCAAATAAAAAATATGTATTATATTTTAGCATAGCTTTGCGTCTTTTTTATTCAGTATCATATTGATTAATAATTTGTAATCCCTAATAATATAATATGGAATACTTTTTCATGATTAATATCATCAATTGATTATTTTTCCTCAGTACTTTAAGCAGATTAAGGAGAGGAAGGTTCTTGTATAATTTATTCAGGTTAATCAAGATATCCAACAACTAAATTCATTTCCATATATAATTTATTTAAACTCTCTGATCTTGATAATTCATCCTTTTCTTTCATCAATTATTCTAAATTATTTTTTATTTATGCTTCTTGAATTTAGATGATTTCATGATGAAATATTTATTCCCATGAGTACCTATCCTAAAGATAATGATAATTGATTTTACTTTTTCTTATACAACTAACATATGTTTTAATAATTGCTTGATTTTATCACTTCTAACAGGAGCATCTGGTATTACTAAGGCAGTTTTCTTAATATTTTGTAATAGACTATATTAGTTATCTCCATCCCAAGGTGGTTTGCCATACAGCATCTCAAATAACATAATTCCCATAGACCAAACATCACATTTAGATGAAAATGGCTAACCTTCAAGTATTTGTGGAGCCATATAAAGAGGTGATCCAACTCTTGAGAAGTAAGCGGGATCTAATTTATATGGATGAATGTATTACCATTCATTCCAGTATCAATTACTCTAGCAAAGCCAAAATCTGTAATTTTCGCAACTCCTTTATGCAATAATATGTTGGCTGGCTTTATATCTCTATGTATAATTTTAAGTTAGTAAAGTGTTCGAAATCCTTCAACTAAATGCTTCAAGAAAATTACTGCTTCAACCTAAAAAATAAATCAAAATAATACTTCGCTAAGCCTTCTTCCATATTTAGTTGATAAATACTTTTTTAAGTCTCCATCATGACAATACTCCAAGAATAAATATAAATAATGTGGTGTTCGAGCAACATCATATAATTTGACAATGTGAGGATTATTAGCCTATTATAAAATTGAAATTTCTCTTTTAATATGTTCTACCATCTTGGCTGAATCTTTGATACTCTAAATGATTATTCATATATTATTACAGCTATCGAAATTGCCTTCACAGCAACTTGTTTGGTTTCATCATTTTTTTTAAATCCTCTATACACAGTACCAAAGGCTCCACTCCCTAACTTCTTATTGACTATAATATATTTGTCAATTTATTTAGTAGTCCAATCTTCAGACATATTTATTTGTTTATTTATAATAACACTGTTTTTATAGTATTTACATTTTTTATATAACATACTTAGCAGATTTCAATTTGAATCCTGCATAACATTGATTTAATAAGTTAATGTATTTATTATACTGTATTGATATTAATCTACTCAATTGTCAGATCATTCTTTTGGCAAGATCATTGATAAGATCTTCTCTATTTCCCCAATCTCCTTAGTTAATGAATGATTTTCTCTTAGCAATGAATCCTCCTCTTGGTCCTCTTAATTTAAATGCCCTATTTTATAGATAATTTCATAATAGTACCATAAAAATCTATTTGCTTCTTTAAAATGTGGTCCCACAGTAGTGATTTCATGAATAAGATCTTCAATGCCATGAATACCATATTTTCCAAGTTATTAATCAATAATTGTATTTGAAGTCAATGGAATTCTTTGACCATTCACTTTGGCATATCCTCTCTTGTAAATTAAATTCTTAATCACTGTTCTTGATGGATATCCATAAGTGATATATGGCTCTACTTTTCTAATCATTTCAATTGTTGCTTTATTGATTCTAACAAATGCAGCATTATGCAATTGTCTCAATTTCAAAAGTCTTAGAGTTTATCTCACTTATGGGTTCAACGTATTGATACTAACTTTATTATTAATTTTTTACCCTCTAATTCTAATTATAAGCATCAATTTAGCCTCAGCTGGAACATAAAATCCACCTTCAGTCTTTGCCTTACGAATGTTATCAATTAAACTCTTTTCTGTTGCCTTGTATTCTGCTTCATAAGCTTAGGCATTCTTCTCTAATTAAGCTCTTCTTGCTTTGTTTTATCCCAATCTTTCTGCTCTTCTTTTAACAACAAGATCTCTTAATTTTGAATCTCTTTATGTTTTCTTAACAATACTCTCTGGCACTTTTTATCTAAATTATTAGAATTGCATACTCCACTTAAATTTAAGCTTTCTTTTATGACATTTTAAAGAATATTTAAAATCTTTAATTTTAAAATCAAATTCACCTTTAATTTGTGACAATTAATTTTTATAGATAGAGACAGATTTTTTCACAATATAATTAAAAAAAGATAAATGATGTTCATTATGGTTATTGTTACTTTCCAAACAAATTTTCTAATACTTTGTAAGGTCCCCTTTGATCTATGAACAGGTTTAATTTTAAATGACTTTTATTGAATTCTCTAACATCTATTGTTCCTATCATATTTTTAAGATATTTCTCTAAATCTAACAATTCTTTATCCTCTTTATTATCATAAAATGGAATGATTGGAATCCCATTATCCAATTACCATGCATATGAATAAGAAGCATTATCAATCAAAGCTACTTAACTTAATGGTCTATTTGTATTATCACAAAAGATTTTCAAGTCTTTTGTGTACAATGAATTATTTGTAAGAGTACAACTATCACGATATAAACGATGACTTATAATACTTTACTCTGGATCCAAAAAATTACAAACCTAATCATAAAATTACAAATACTTTTTCTGCATAGCAACTATGAGAAGCTGTAAAAATTATTATTTCAAAACTTTTAGATAAGTTTTTTAATAATTCTTTTGCATAAGGACGAATATTTATTCCAGCTTTTACAATTTGATTCTTTGATACATTTATATCCAATATCACATCACAAGGCATTGATGGATTTTCATTACAATGTACTAATGTTTCATCCAAATCAAAGAAAAGTGTTATTTATTCTATTTTATTAAACTTAATTTACATTAACATTTTTTTGTCAACTTGTTTGATCTGTTATAATCATTATTATTTTAGGGAAAAAATCTATGATTTAATCCTTAATAAGTTTGATGGAAATGTTCTCGATAAATACGAGAAAAGTAGTCTGATCCATTGCTGTCAAATGCTTTTTACAATTTACTTAAATAATAAATTTCTATTCTTTTGTTTTGGCTTGACGATCTAGGCTTCGAAGTTGGACTTTAGATTTAGAATGTTGATATTCGAGACTATGGAGTAAGGGAATATGGTTTTAATTGAGAAGGAATTTCGATCGTTGGATTAATTGCTAACATCTTCTTTTTAAAAGGAGATTAAGCAATTTTAGATTCTACTCTAGTAACCAATTTATTCAATAACACTTCAGTATCAATTGATTTTTGGATTCTCTTTTCTTTGATCTTGTTTTTTAGTGCATCATTATTTAATAAATGGGCTTATCCATAATCTGGGGCTTTTGATGAACTCATAAAAATTCCAGTTGGAGAATCTGAATGTTTACTGGATTGAGGAAATATTTTATTCTTCTTTAAATCCAATATTTGAGAATTAGTAAATCTTCCATGTCTAGACATTTTAGACCCATTTCGTGTTAAACTCATTTAATTATATAAATAATTCAGTAATTAATATATTTGATCACTAAAATAGATAAATGATTAATGATAAATCCTTTATCTTAATTCTTTAAATTATTAAAGATTAACTATTCAATCGTTCTCTAATTATCCTTAATTATTATTTTTGTTTGAATTTATAACTTTAGAATTTTTGGATATTTTTAGAATTAAATATTGAATAATTATTACTTATCTCTAACAAAATCAATAAAATATTCAAATATTGTTTTACTTTAATTCTTTGTTATTAATCAAACTCAAAATATAGAAAATCTAATCTTAGACCTAAATCATTTACAAGTTTTATAATCGATAAGTAGAAATACTGATTTCAAATATAGAATTAAAACTTATGTAAATGGTGTTTAGTTAAAAGATATCTAAGTAAATTAAGTTTGGATTAATAAAAAGTTAAACATTTAATTGGTTTTGTTTTTATATAAAATTATTGTATACAATTAAAATGGGTTGTGTAACAAATAAAGAGTAGGACATAAAGCAATTTAATATTAAATTACCAGACTAATGTACTTTTGGAAAATATTTAAGATAATCATACAACGATATAAACAGAAGCAGATCTGTCTGATTCTTAAGATTAATTCCTATAAATTGGAATGAATATATGCAGTTTAGGCGATTTTCTTCCTAAAGTCTAGGAAGTATATGATGAACTTGGAGAATTATTCTAAAATATTTAAGGCCAGTATTTGCTAATGCAAGACCAAAGCATATATTTTGGATAAGTAGTCGATGGGAAAAGACAAGGTGTTGGAAAATAGCATTGGCCAAAGGAAGGGAACTTATTGGAAGGGTATTAATACAAATTTTCATTTCTTAGGACTTGGGTTGATAATTAATTGACTGGAAGAGCTCGTATGATATATCCTAATGGAGATTAGTAAATATTAGATATAAAAGTAGTTTTGTTGGTAATTTTCTTAATAATATTGCTAATGGATTGGGAAGATTTGTGAACTCTAAAAAATAAGTGAGTGGATTTTGGCTTAATAATAAATTAACAGGAGAGGGAACTGAAATTAGAAAAAATGGAACAATATATAAAGGGCAGTTTAGTGAAGGTAAAATTTAAGGCCATGGACAGTTTGAGTATGCAAATAAATGCATATATAAAGGAAGTGTGTGTAAAGGAAAAATGCACGGAAAGGGGGAATTAATTTTTAATGATAATACAAGATACATAGGTGATTTCAAGGCTAACTCTATTTAAGGAAGAGGAAATTATGAATCTGATATTTCAATAACGGGATGGGTAACCTATTTTAACATTCTTATAGTTTCATTCTAAATTTGAAAATTAAACTCTATATATTTATTTTTTTCGAACTGAAACACCTGTACTAATTGACAATTAACATTGTACTTTAATTGAAAAATAGTTAGAACAATTTTTTGATTGATTTTAATTATAACTTTCTTATAAAACAATAATATTAATCATTTATAATATATATTATAAATATTATTATAAAATTATTCTATTGATATAGAATCATATAAGTAGAAATAAATTTTGAATAGGATGCATAAATCATTATAGCACAATAATTAGATAATAGATTTTGTAATTATTCAAAGGTATGATATTGATGGATAAAGATAAATTCAAATTTTTTATTTATAAGTAATGAAAATTAGACAAATTATTTATTTGATGATCATCATTTTTCTCAAATAGATGAATAGTATAATTATATTTTTGAAAATATGTAGATAATTAAGTTCAAAACTTAAAAAAATACTAATTTCAATCCATCATTAATGCTTTTTAAGAATTCCTTTTCAATCTCATATTCCATGTATTAATTAATCAATTAAAAATAAAGAAAAATATAATTTAATTGTTAGAAAAATAAGAAATATGGATTGGATGCTTAGAAGATGCCTGAAAGATTTAGATTAACCTATTTTTGTTGAATAAAAAAATTCTAAATTTTAATTTAATTTGAGACGATTTAATTTTCAATATGAAAAGAATTAGCAAAATGAAAATCCAAAATTACATTAAAGACCAATATCAAATGAGTTTTTCTCTATTATTTTTTTGAAATAATATTTTTGAATCAAATTAAAATAATTCAAATAAATTCAATGAACTAAATATAATCAAAACTAAAAAATAACACAGCTCTTCAAAAATGTTAATTTAGAATTAAAAATTAAGAGAAAAAGTAAGATCATTCTTTAATTACTATTGATTTAAAATTTATCTTATCATTTTTCTATGATGATTTTTCTCAATAATTATGCATGTTAGGTGCCTCATTCTCTCGTTTTAGAGGTTAAATTCAGTTTTTATCTTTATTGTGAAAGTTCCAACATTAATTTTATTGAGAACTTTCATTTTGAATATATTTATGTACTTCACACTTAAAATTTGGATTTATTGAAGCAAATATTTTTGGTCATTCAGTAGAATTCAAATTTTTTGCTAATTGAGAGTACAAGCTAAGTTTTTAGCCTACTTTCGCTTTTCAGGCCAATTATTTTTTCAATTTATTGAAATCCCAACTTAAAGTAAAGTGTGTGGATTATTCTCAAATTATTTGATATCAATATTTTTGATTATTTTCATTTACATAACTATCTTTAAAATTTAAATAAATATGACTTATTGAAAACTTTTTTGCAAAATTAGGGTACTTCCCCCTATTATGAAAATGTTCAATATGAGTTTGATAAATTTAGTTCACATAAAAAGTTCGGCAGTAGTGAGAATATAGTTTTGTTGCTAAAAAACTAGATTCTTAACTAATTCACTATTTTCAAGTAATAAGCTAATGAAAATCTTCTGTTAATTATTTTAATTTAATTGATGTTTTGATGTATATACAGTATTAAGATTTCTTTTTTTAATATTCATATATATTTTCAACTCCTTCATCCAATAAATAGATAGAGAGTCTCTTGGCCAATATTGAAATTACAAAAACATTTAAATATTACCTTGTTGATGAGATGTAAATTATTATTTCGAAAATTGAATTGTTATTCATATTTTATAACCTATTTATTTTTTATCATAGTTATTAATTGATTAATCATTATATTGATATTTTAAATGAATGAAAAATTAAGCATTAATCATTATAAGATTCTGTCACTAAGGTAGCATTTTAATCATAAGATTTGTTCTAATTTATATAAACTTTTCTATTCTCATTGCCATTAAAAACAAAAGTCTTTCTGCCAAACAATAGAGGATGTGCCAGAAAAATTAAAAAATTTTTAAGAAGGAAATTTGCTCTTATGATGGATAAGTACATTAACCTCATAACTACAAAGATGTAAAGACTTTTAAGGGTAGATAATCAGATTAAAAAAAACTATGTAAACCAGATATAAGAATCAAGAATATTTAGCACCAGTTATTCCTTTTTTAAATAAGTTGTTTTATAGGAAGAATTTTGATATGTCTTTAAATTTTTATTTTGGTTATCTTTCATTTACTCAACTTAAAGCGGAAAACTATTCGGTTGTTTTTTTGCAAGTAATAAGTAAAACACTTTAATAATATATGTAATGATTCCACACTTAGGAATGAAAATGTGAGTGTTTTATCGCCTAAAAATATTACTAAAGTAAAATAATAGAAGTGACAATGCTTCACAAAAATTAGAAGTTAACTAGACGAAGTCATAACAACTATTTAGGTCAAAAAAATTAAGACCATACTAAAAGACATATAATTTTGTTAGGTTAAAGAGTATATAAATGTGAAATATAGTAAGTAAATTGTTATAGTTTACTCAAGAAGAAATTAAATATATCCTTTATATTCTTACAATTTTAAGAAAATTTTAAATTAATTCTGACAAAAAAGAATCATCATTTCATCATAATATACTTTTTACTCATTTTATAGAAACTAGGATTAATATTTGTCAAAGATTGTTGTTAACTTTAAGGAAAAGATATATTGAAATTAATTATTTATTTTTTTTGGAATAAAGATTGATCACAAATTGAATTGGAATTATGAGAACAGCATTTTCTCTAGCATAAAATATCAACGCTGTTGCTTAAGGTGTGTATCGTTTTACACTTTGATATTTTTTGAGTATGCATATTAGGAACAAAAATATCTTCCAAAATAATAAAATTTTCAATCCAGAAAACTAATAAAAATTTGTGATTTGCGAATTTAGTTTAATTATGAATAACTTCCATAAATCTTTCTTATACAAACTATGAATTGATTATTAGATTTGATTCAAATCGAACATCTATTTTTATCTATATCATAAATGTAAGAGATTGCCTCAATTTTAATATTCTTATCATTATAATATTTAAATCAAACTATCAAATTGAATAATTAATAGAAATTATTTGAATTTACGAAATGATGTGATAATGACTTTAAGAAGTAAAGAAGTAAGATTAGAAATGAAAAATTCAGTACTAAAGGCTTCAATGAATGATGTTAGTCTTCTAATAAGATATAACCAACTTTAGAGAATAAATTACATTAAAATACATATAGCATTGCTAAATTGGAAGAATGTATTTATACGAAAAGATTATTTTAAGATTTAAACATAATTATTAAATTGAATCAAATTAATAGGTTTTAAAAAATGAATATAATTTAAGAATGATGATGATTCATTCAGCAAAAGGCAAGAAAGTTTCTAAAATAGTTGTAAAAATTTAGGCATGTCAATAGTAAAAAGAAAAATTGATTGAAAAAATAATTTAAATGATAGGAATAATAAAAACATAGATATTAAAATTCAAAGTGCTTTTATATCAAACATTTAATTTTAATGATATTATTTTGATAAGTTAATAGATTCGAAGAAGTATTGTCACGCTATGATTCAGCAAATGATAAAAATTCTTTAAACCCAGAATTTAGATATACAAAGCTAACTTTCATAGAGATTCTCTTATATTTAGTGTTTCAATATAAGAAAATTGATTGAAATTAAGCAAAAACATACGTAATCATAAAAGTTGATGTTAAAGATATCCATCATATTTTTCTTAAAATTCAAATTGAAAAGAGTGCATCTTTTCTATCGAAAATCTCAAACTGTAATTCCATATTTATTATAAATGAATTTAATAATTCTCTTTAATATCTCTTGTTTGTTTGTTAAATTGAATTCTTTTATTTGTAATTTTATCCCAAATTATAAGTATTATCTTTATCTTCTTTATTCATTCATCATATTTCCTTTAAAACACATTCATGTCATCAAATTACATCTATAATTTATTTACCTTCTTCTTTATTAAATATTTTTTTCTCAAAAGTGTCATATAAACCTCTTTTCTATTTCTAAATTTAACTTTTTTGATCCTAAGCTATTTTGAAAATGCTTCTCGATACATTTTTGTGTTTAATTAAGGTTTTAAAATAACACTTCAGAAAAAGAATTTTAGTTTGATTCAATTATCTTCAAGCAAGTTAATTGTGCCTCAATCTTAAAGTTATTGTTTTAAGCTTAAAATAAAAAAAATCCCATTCTTATTAGTGGTTCTCCAATTTCAAGAATAAAAAAGCTATAATTTCATTATTTATGATCTGCCAGTTTAAGAAAATGAAAAACTTCTCTTTAAAATTTCTATAGAATGAAAAAAATTATATTTAACAAGTAATAAATTCAGGACTTATCAATTAAATTAGGTTTAAAAAGTGTTAGCTAATATTTATTTTCTAAAAATTGAAATTTCATTAATGGAAGCATCATCGTTTATTATATTATTTCATAAGATATATATATGTGAATCATGAAATAAATGTCAAAAATTTTATAAAATCTGCTTATAAACACTATTTTGAAAAAATTTTCAATATTTATAATAACAACAATAAAATATAATTTCATGCCATTTAATATGTTATTTCATTGTGGGTCAAATAATCACACACATCGCCAACAATTAAATTTTAAAATTTTACATCATCTTTACTATCCGGAGCGATAATAGATAATTCTGGATAATTTTATTTAAATTTAGTAATCATTCCTTCAATCGATTGATTTAATTTCATAATTTTAAATTAAATTTTTGCATTTTTAAGATGAGTAAAAATTTCATTTTACTATTTTTTGCAAGGACAGCCTTCTGGAAAAGAATCAGTAAATTCATGATATTCTTTTCCATGAGGAGGTGCATCAGCAATTAAGTATAATAAATTTTAAAAATTTCCACTCCAATTTAATTTAGAAGATGAATATAAACCATCCAAAACAGCCTCAGGTGTATCACCTCCCCCACTTGCTGTTAAATTATTTAAGAATTTAATAGCATCATTCTCAGAAGTGAAATCACACATTTCAACTACATTCTACTCCTAATTATACGGAGGATCATGATCTTTATAAGAAACTATTGCAAATTTCATTTCAATCTCACTGTTGTCGATTGTTTTATGGCTTTTTGCCTTCTAAATTATTGATTTGATAATCTCTTTGCAGTTGTTTATATATGATCCCATCGATCCTGTAGTATCAATCACAAAGGCTATTTTAATCCCACTTATAGTTTGTTCTTTATGCATTTATGCACAATGAAAGCTATGAGAACTAATTTTGTTATCTTAAGTATGCCAAGCTTCTTTTAAGCAAAACGAATTTTCCCCATTTATTTTTTTACATAATGGGCAGTAATAATTACATTAACTTATATTAGAAATCTCATTGGGAATTGGATGGCCCCATTTTTTCAGGTTCCAATAGTCAAGACATAATACTTCATCAAAATTTAAATGATTAAATCCTTGATATTTTTCGTCTGAGTGTCTTGCTTTAATATCCGATTTTTTTCCTAAACATTCGCTTCCACCTTTACATTCAACTAAATGATAATGACTTCTTCCATTTCTTTTACAACTTTGATCACAAGTTTCTGGTGTGGATTTATCTCCAACTTAATATTATCTTAATGTTACATTAGAATCTTTAATTTCTATTTTCCCCAACTAACCTTCTTTTGCTGTAAACACTTAATTTTCTTTATTTATATGAATTTGTGTTGAATGAATCCCAGGATGATTGTATTTTTTTTCACAAAATTTATTACACTCAGGACATCGTTAATCACAAATATGGAATTATTTCTCCGTTTCAATCATGCAAGTATGATTTTTTTCATGTTCAAGCTCCCCTGGTTTGATAATTAAACAACATTTTTTTTTCTCATGTGCCTCAGGAACATATTAAATATATTTAAACTTAGATTACCAAGTTCTTTCTTATTGGCAATATATAATTTAGCAGACTCCTTTATCCTAACACAATTATTTACACTCGTGCTATTCACCGCATAGATGATTTGACTTTTGCTTTGAATGTTCATGCTATTTCTTGCAAAAAGTAGAGCATAATTAGGAATGGCTATGATTTTAATTACATTTCTTGTTGCACAACATACAAGTTTCAGTGCAATAAATATCTTCGCATTAGTGATTTTAATGAAACATCGACCTATCTGATTTACATTTTTTGCTACAAAACTAACAATTTTGTTTGCATGGATGTTCACCAGCACAATTATGCTACTTAGGATGATCGAAAAGCAGGCTACAACTTTATTTGCATTCAGGTATTTCACATATATGATTGCATTTATGTTGTTTTAATGAACATAAATGCTCTTGGAACTCACTATGACCAGCCTCTTTATCACATATTTTATCAGGACATACTTTGCAAATCTAATCACATTTATGATTCACTCTCTAGCATGAATGGTTATTTAGATTTAGACTGTTCAATTCTTAAAGTTTACATTATAATTTCTTTAACCTAACTGCATCTGTTCCAACTTTATTAAATATTTCAAGACTATTTAATTTTTCTTATAATTCAGTGACAAAGTTGTCTCTTTGTTTTTCAATATTTAATTTTTCTTTTTATAAATCCTGAAGCGAAAATTTTGAAAATTTATTAATTTCTTTCCAATCTTTAAGTTAAGAATAAAGTGGTATTTGTTCTTATCCTGTCTTCCATATTTCCTTCAACAATTTCTCTGAATTTTTAAGCCGTATTATTTTTTCATTCTGTATTTCAATTTATTAAACTATTTTATTATTTTCATCCATAAAGTTTGATTTTCTTATTTAAAGGCTATCTAATTATGACTAAATTTCAATTAGACGCTTTCTTAAAATGTTTACTTCTTCTTCTAAATTTCTTAATTGGGAATTTAAATCTTAAGTTTAACTATCAACAGCATTTTTTTCGCTCTGAAATAAATTTTATTAATTTGCTAATTTAAGTAGAGTTTATTATTTTTAAATTATTGTTTAAAATTTTTCTATCTTTTAATTTAAATCCTAATAGCTATTTGATAGCTCCTAAATTTCAAGTTAGTATTCTTCAAATTCTTGTTTTTTTAACAATAAGAACATAGATTTTATTTTAAGACCTTTAATTTCTTATTCTTTCTGCTATTATTGGGTCTATGAAAATTCAGGTTCAATCTTTGATTCATTAGTTTAATTTATATCATTTAAATTTTCAATCTTATTAGTATTTACTTACTAATCATTGTTTTATATTTGTTCTGAAATTTCTAATTATTTCTCTACTTCTATACAACTATTATTTTCTTGTTCTTAAATGGATTATTGGTTCTATGAAAATTCAGGTTCAATCTTTGATTCATTAGTTTAATTTATATCATTTAAATTTTCAATCTTATTAGTATTTACTTACTAATCATTGTTTTATATTTGTTCTGAAATTTCTAATTATTTCTCTACTTCTATACAACTATTATTTTCTTGTTCTTAAATGGATTATTGGTTCTATGAAAATTCAGGTTCAATCTTTGATTCATTAGTTTAATTTATATCATTTAAATTTTCAATCTTATTAGTATTTACTTACTAATCATTGTTTTATATTTGTTCTGAAATTTCTAATTATTTCTCTACTTCTATACAACTATTATTTTCTTGTTCTTAAATGGATTATTGGTTCTATGAAAATTCAGGTTCAATCTTTGATTCATTAGTTTAATTTATATCATTTAAATTTTCAATCTTATTAGTATTTACTTACTAATCATTGTTTTATATTTGTTCTGAAATTTCTAATTATTTCTCTACTTCTATACAACTATTATTTTCTTGTTCTTAAATGGATTATTGGTTCTATGAAAATTCAGGTTCAATCTTTGATTCATTAGTTTAATTTATATCATTTAAATTTTCAATCTTATTAGTATTTACTTACTAATCATTGTTTTATATTTGTTCTGAAATTTCTAATTATTTCTCTACTTCTATACAACTATTATTTTCTTGTTCTTAAATGGATTATTGGTTCTATGAAAATTCAGGTTCAATCTTTGATTCATTAGTTTAATTTATATCATTTAAATTTTCAATCTTATTAGTATTTACTTACTAATCATTGTTTTATATTTGTTCTGAAATTTCTAATTATTTCTCTACTTCTATACAACTATTATTTTCTTGTTCTTAAATGGATTATTGGTTCTATGAAAATTCAGGTTCAATCTTTGATTCATTAGTTTAATTTATATCATTTAAATTTTCAATCTTATTAGTATTTACTTACTAATCATTGTTTTATATTTGTTCTGAAATTTCTAATTATTTCTCTACTTCTATACAACTATTATTTTCTTGTTCTTAAATGGATTATTGGTTCTATGAAAATTCAGGTTCAATCTTTGATTCATTAGTTTAATTTATATCATTTAAATTTTCAATCTCTTAATAATTAATTTGCTAATCATTATTTTATTTTAATTCTAATTATTAATTCTATTTTAAACAATCTTCTAATTAAAGCTCATTTTCTTCAGCTTTTTCATGACATTCATTATACAAATCTAAATTATAAAAATCCTCATAAATTGTTTTCATCAAAATCTATTCCTCTTTAGAACAGAATTCAGCCTATTTTTCCAAATTCAACAAGTCAAAATCTTACAACTCCCTTTCTAATTCTTAAATCTTTTTCCTATTTAGTACTTTTGATTTTTATTGCAATGACTTTTTTTCTTCCATCATCTATTGGTATTTATCTTTCTAAGCCTATAATTCTTTTTTTCTATCCTTTATTTTGTATAATTCTAAAGAATGTGCTTACTTTTTATCTAATTAAGAATTAAAATAATTGATAAATTCACTTAAAGACATTTATTCAAAAAAGTTACTTTCAGTCTTGTTTTAAAGTAATCTAGTTTATAATTAATTTAACTCTTCTTAAATTTGATTCTTTTCATTTTAGTATTCATCAATATCAGCTTGCTAAACAAGTTCATTTTCATTTAAATTTCGATTTATTTGATCTATTTCTGATTAAATTTACTATATTTTGTATTTTATAGTATTTTGTTAGTTAGTTAAAGCTTCAATCTTTTATTATAATTATTATTTTGCTATGTTAACTTTCTTAATATTATTCTCAATATTCTCAGAATCCCTCAAAAAAGTTTATTATTAATTTTAATTATTCTCAATTTCAATTTTATTATTAGCTTACTGCTCGTTCTAACTTTACAATTATCTTTTAATATTGTCATATTCTTAATAAATACCCTCGATATCTTTTGTTATTTATTTAATGCCATTTTCTGAAATTAATTTTATACCATTCACTTCAAAACTTTCAACTTTAAAATAATTGCCATTTTTAAGTTAAATAATTAATGAGGATTATAAATCTGTTATAGTTGAATATTTAATTAAATTATTGATTTATTTTAAAGTATTTTCAATTTCTTCAATATTTTTTTCAATCCTGATTAGACTATTACGAATCATCTCTTCTTCTTCTTGACTTTTTATTTTTGAATTCTTACATTGTTCTTCTAACAATTCAATTTCATTTTCAATTATATTTCTCAAATTTTCTGAATATTGAATATGATTCTTAAAATGCTTACATGATAAACAACATTCATGGCATTTAATTTAACAAAATTAATATTTATCAATTTAAAGTTATAGAAAATCTTGAAGTTTAGTGTTTTCTTTTTGAATAAGTGTTTGCATTTCCACCATTTGGATATCAGAAATTTCAGCCAAAGTATGTTAAATTATGAACTACTTTCTTTATTCCATCATTTTATTAAATTAACTATTTGCCTCATTTAAATTTGATTTATGATTAAGTATATTATCATTTAATTTAAGGTCAGTATATAATTTTTGTAAAAATTCAGTATTCTACTTGAGATATTCATCATCATCCATCTCAAAAGTGTAATTAGCTTAATTCAGCTTAAGTTCTCCATTAGAAGGTAAATTTTAAGAAAATTAATACCATAGAATTTAACTTTCAAAATAAATTTATTCTATTCTGATTTAGAGATTTATTAAGCTCGCATTTGATGTATCAGATAGCTCAAGTTGGCATAGAACAATTTTAACTATGGCTATTAGTTCTTTTCCATTTTTCCAGCGATTACTGTCTAAAGATTAATTTATGATGTAGTCTCTCACTTTTTTGACTTGCTAATCAAATAATGTGTTTTCATTATTAACCATTTTTTCTACAGAAAGCTTGTTATTGAATAATTTATTCAAAAAAACAATCTCCTCTTAATCAGCTGTTTTTAATCTGTCTAGGTTTTTTAATAATTCTTGTTCTAAACCTAGATTATCAGAAGTACTGACATCTCTAATAACAATGTACAAAAATCCTTTAAATAGCTTTTCGTCATTTAATTATTTAGATGCTTCAACTAAATTATTGAATAGTTCATTCTAGTAACGACTAAAAGTTGAATCAGAATTTAATATTGTTATATCACTAATAGCTGTAAGAAATGCAAGCATTTTAATTTCTTCTTTTTCAGTTCTAGCTCCATTAAATAATCCTTCACAATCTAATATTAAAAATTTCTGATCTTCCACATAAGCCATTGTTCCCCAAACTCCATCGGTACATCTAGCTGATGAAACAGAAAATCTTGTTCCAAAAATTCTGTTTAATAAATAACTTTTCCCAGATGACTATTTACCTATAATCCCCACTACAAATATTTTTTATTCCTCGCAAGAAAGATAGTCTTCCAGAAATCCAAGATGCAATTATTTAACCTTTTAATCAACTTTTATACCATTTTAAATCATTGATTATTACCTAAATCCATCATTTAAAGGTATCAAAGTTCCATTTTCAATGGTGCAGAATTGTTGGGGAACTCTTGAATATATTATGTTCTTGATTTGATTACTATCGCATTTCGAAAATTAGGTCTATTGAGAGCTCAAAAACACGTTGTTTAAATTCATGTTATTGTAATATTTTTCTATTTTGTTGTAATGATGAGATTCAACATTTAACTAAATATTTTTGGATTTATGTTTTGATAAAAATTAAGAATTTGGCCCGAATTTAACAAAAGAACCTTTTACTATATCTAAAGCTGGATTCCCTATAATAATCTATTCATTATTCTGTTATTTATTAAACTTTTTCTATTAAATCAAGTTTTAAATAATAGTAATTCTTTTTGATTCTGTTAAGTTATTACACTCATGCAAAATTATAACATCTGAGGAATCTGAAAAAATTTTTATTTGACCTCTTATTTTTATGCATTCAACTCTTTTTCCCATATAATCATATCTGTCACAACAATGATGGTTAGCAAGGTAAAAATATTTCCCACTTGGGCATGATAATAATTAGTTGTATGAATGTTTTGATTCTATACTTGGAATAAAGTCTGCTTCTTTTAGTTCCTTCCTTTGCTCAACTTTGATTTCTTCTAAGCATTTAAAACTAATGAATTATTGTTATTTATCAAACAGAGCTAATATTTTATTTTTATCTGATAACACAAGAAATTTTTTTTAAACACTAATATATGCGACTTATTATATTAGAAAATTTTGATTCTGCTAATCTTATTAAAAGCAAAACTATTAATCCACTTAAATTGCTCCAGTTTATGATATAATTATTTACTAAACTGAAGAAACTTTATAATTAAATATATATAAATAACCAAGATTATGGTCATAATAATAAATCGCCTATTTGATATGATCGGGATGTAAGTTTCTAATTATTTTAAAGGAGGGCGATTAAAATTATTAAAATAAAATATAAGCCTCTATTTCTGTTTAAACTACTACTATAGTTCCTTTTTGTTTAGTGGAAAATACTTCTTTTATTTCAAGTTTTTATGTTTGGGATTTGAAAATAGATGTGTCTAATTGAAATTTTTGGTCTTCATCTAAATGCGGCCAAATAGATAATATTGCATCTGCTTGATTTTCATTTTATCGATAGATTTTAAAAATTACTCTCTCAACAAAATATGTTGTTTATTGAGTTAATTCTTAAAAAATTTATTTCAACTTACTTCTAAACTTTTCCTGAATATCTTTTAGGGCTACTAAAATCTACGTCAAGGCTTGATAAATTAGTTTTTTATGATCATCTTTCTCACATTCAAATTCAAATTAATGAGATTGAAATTTTAATTTGGAGAAGGCATTTATCAAAATTTTTTCTGCTTAATGTTAATAATGGTCATTCTTTGAAAAGTTGAAAAATGATTTTAATTTCTTACTAAGATCTTAAATTAATTTTTTTCTTTCTTCAGTTATCTTAATGTTTAATTAGGTAGATACTCCGTTTAATATCTCTCTCAGTTTTTAAGTTTAATGCTCTTTCTAAAATAAGTCTAATAACCAAATTATTTAATTATTTTGATTAACTAATATTTACATCATTAAGGACTCAGTAAATGTAACATATTTTGTCAAATTTTAATGAAATTCTTCTTAATTCATCATTTCTTTTTGTTTTAAGAGAATGATGTATGGTTAAAATGAATTAGATGTAATAATGTGGTGTTTTGATATATCTTGAGGTATATTATGAAACTGACATTGATAATTTTGTACCTAAAGATTAACATCTTCGCGAAAATCATAATCTTATCTTTCTAATATTCTAGCACTAAAAGGTACTATATCCCCTGAGTACCAATCACTAAATATTTAATCATCCAAACATAATTTTATGTTATCAGTAAAATCATGTAGTATTCTAAAAAGCACAATTTCTATAGATTTTTCTTAAATTGGTTTTGACAAAAAAAACTTAATTGGTAAAATCAAACAAAATAGCCTTAAGTCTTAGTATTAAATTAGAATCAAATTTCCTTTTTCTGATTCTTTCAAAAAATTCGTCATATCAATTTCTTAATGAATTTCGGTTTTTATTTCCTTTTCTATGTCCTTTTAACACCCAAATAAGCCTTTTATATTTAGTATTTTTTCATCGAATGAATCAATTGATAACTGCTGAATATTTTTAAAATGAAAGTTTATTTTATCCAACACAAACTCTTACGCTTGATCTGTTACTATCGAGTATAATAAATTAATTTATATGTTTTTATTATGCTAATTCATATGTGGAGGTAAAAGAAAAAAAAACAAATTTATATTGATGTAATTCTATTAAATAAAATTTCATAGAATTCATGACTGAACTATAATTAACATATCGTTGAATAAAAAATATTTATGAATGATAGTTGTTAGGAAGATTAGATTAATTTAATGCCTTTATATATTGATAGTTGTTAGTTTTATAATTTTAAGATAAGGTGATTGAATGTAATTACTTGAAAAATTAAGAAAAAAAATTAAAAAAAATAACCATCAAAAAATTTATGCTCTCCATCATATATAAACTTGAGCCAAAAACATTGAATAATTTATTGGGAGTGTGCAAAAATTTGGTAAAATTTTTAAGCGAAATATTTAAAGAGTATATTTTTAAATATTGTTATTAATATTTTTATAATTTAAAAAAGTGAAGATGAACTTTTTGTAAAAATTGTCTCCACATTTTTGTAAAAGCTAATTGAGATGAAAACTTAAGATGTTCAATATAGATCATAATATTGTCTAGGCATGATTTGTATATAATAATTTTTAAGATTTTATGATCATGTACAAAATCTAGTATGACCTCTCTAATAGAGGTTGCCAAGGAGAATTTTGGTTATAAAAAATTATTTGAGAAAAAGGGTTGGGGTTGGTTTTTACTATAATAATAATAATAGCTATACCTAAGTAGTGATAGTAATATGGTCGAGGCCAAGGCAGAAAAAGCAAGTTTACAAGTGCCGTTGTGGTTGTGGTTGGCGATGGCGTTGTGGTTGTGGTTGGTGAATATACAGGGGATGTAATATAGTTTTAAACTTTAAAAAAAAATGCAAAAATTAGAAAATTAACAAACTTCAATCATGGAACAATCATAAAAAATAACAATAACAGAAAAACATAAAAAAGAAAAAAGTGAAATTCATTATTCTATAGAAAATTCTCGAAAATAACAATATCGTTAAAATATATAAATCATGCCTTATATAGA